TTAATTCTTATTAAGTATGAACAAGCGATAAGTTAAAATTATCATTTCCAACATGCGAGCGTAAAACTAAATTCTATAAAGCGTTTAAAAATACCCTTGAGTACAGAAAGTTTGTGAAGAATAAACCAACCTTTTTTTGAACATATATACATCTATTTACACTGATCGAGAAACAACAATTTGATCTTAACTTCTTTACTTGCAGAACTCATAGATATTTAACTTCAACTTACTAAATGAAATAGAAACGAAACTTTACGAAGTTTCATGACTCAATTGAATAAAATAATGAAAGAAACATATTAACTTTTGAATAATTAAAATACTTGACTCACCTGAAAACAGTTATAACAAACACAGTGAAGTAGGTTTTAGAACTTGTATCTTCAAAAGCGCATGAGAAAGTGCCACTTTTGAGACCGAAATTCACTTGTTCGATTTTGCGTTACTGTTTCAGGTTCGACCAATCAGATTCGTTAAACACCCGAGCCACTTAGTTACCCTGATAATTTGGGGTAAAAAGGGGCGTGGAAAGGTCTTTGCTGGACAGAACAAAGAACCCTAATTGACCAGGTTACCTAGACATATGTTGTTTACACAACAACTTGTTTGTGTTTAAAGGACAATAGACTTAGTAAAAAGACATGTCTAATTGTGTCCACTTAGCTTGTCGCTAAACATCTTAAATTGATAAAAATAATGCCTAACAAAGAGAAAATCTGAAGTGACAAATGCCAAAGTAAATATCTGTCAAATTTGAACTTTTTATCTTAAATATATCGAGAATATAAAAATGATTTCCTTCAACAATAATGAACGAATATAAAACAAAATATTTTTAATCAATATTGCAGCTTCGAAATGGACTTTATATAAATAAAATATCTTTTACTTATTCGTTTTTGCTGAAAACTAAATTTTCACAAAAATATAAAATGAGGTCTAAAATGACTCCATGACAGTATTTTCAGATACTTAATTAAGCTGAAGACAACCTATGCTTTGCAAATTTTAGGGGGGGGCGCACGCCCGCAACGCCCCCGCCTGAATCCGCCCCTGACCGTCGTGTTGACGGATGCCGGTTCCATGATCATTTATCTTTCATCAAAGGATCAGGGCCGTAACTAGCTTTAAAAGTGATGCAAAATATATTCGCCGAGCGGAGAGAGCGAAAAATATTTAGGCTAGGGATCTGGGGGCCACTCAAGGCCCCCAGAATCGCTGGAAAAATGACGCCAAATCGTGCATTTTCTGAGCGTTTCCCGGACCCGTTTTAATCTGAAACGCAAGTTTTGTTTTTTTCGACAATATTCTGGTCTCAAAGCAAAATATATAGATTCAGTGGAAGACTTTTAGTTTTTAGGGACAACATCAAAATACCGATATTTAGGATAAAGCAAAATCGTAATTCAAATAGTAAAGTGTTTGGATGCTGTTTGTTTTGTTTTTTTATTATTGAGTTTCGGCTTGCAGAAAAACGTATTATACCTGTCAATTGTGTTTGTTTTTCAATTAAGTTAAGAGGGTGATTATCATTGATTTAACTATGTGAATTCAGTTTTTATAACACATTTCAATTACAACTTGATGTAGTTACTAACTGGGATAAAAGGGTACACTCAGGGTACACTCAGGAAAACTGACCTCATTGCTACATTTTTGTGCTGTTTAATATGTATACCGGCTGATTAATGTCAGATCTGTCTGTTTTGGTCTTGTATTGTGTTTAGACTTTGGTGTAATTTTTTTGTGACTGTGAAATTTATTCACAGTACAATACTTTAAGTACCACTTAAGTCGACGCTAGGGGCCGTCTTGACCTTGTTGTAGGGTATGCATGATTTGTTCGTTGTTGAAGACCCTCCAGCGACTGTCAAGATGAAGAACAGGAATAAAAGCCCTGTTCATTGATAATTTGTATTTGTTCTATGTATTGTGTGCAATTTTGTCCCATGCACATTTAATCCATATCCCTTTATTTTCTATTTCAGGGCCAGGACACGGCTTAATGCAAGTTTAGCCCCTTCAATGTTAAAGGTCATATGGCAATACATTATTTTTTCTTTTTAAATGATTTGATTCCGGGAGATTGGTTGTCTCACTTTAATTTAACCCCATGTATTAAAGCGTTTTAGTTTTATTTACAGAAAAGAGAGCCAGTTTTGTATTCTTTCATATAAAGGATGATAAAGTTGACTTTTCCATGAAAAAAAACAACCAATTTTTCTATGTCCGCGGTAACATCGTATCTTCTTAAAACATTTTCTCGAACAATATCTGGACATCGGTGGACATGTAACATTGCTAAACCACACAACCGTTTACCCGTCATCGTAGATCTTTCCCCAAGTTATAAGTCTTCGCAAAGCAGAGAATGAACGTTCACAAAATACAGATGTTACGGGAAGAAACAACAACAGCTTAAAAACTTTGTAAAAACTAGGATACAAGTCAAAATCAGCTAGTTCAATCGCGTCTTGCAGACTAACGAACTCTCGAGCAGAATGAACATCAATTCTGATCCTCCACCTTCCTGCTTCGTTCACGAAGTCTTCCTTGTTCGACAAACCTGCATCAAATGCGTCGCATAGTGTTGAAAGGATATCAGGTGTCAAGTTATGCAGATGTTTCGGTACTAGATAATATCCCATCATTTGAGTTTTCAAATCGTTTGGAAATCGTCGTTTTAATTCAGACGTGCCATGATCGATAAAGGGGAAGAAAAGGTTAATGCGCCAATGAACTGAAGGGTCACTTTCTAATGCTGCATTTTCTCGATGAACTTGACACCCGACACGTCACTTTGGTCTATAATCTACCTCTAGCCTGTCAGCAATTGTTTCAGCTCTACTGAACAGCTGTTTAAATTGTTCGTCATTGCGTATTTCAATAATTAAACTAATTAAACCGTTCGCCTCATCGAAAGTGGTTACCACGTTGCAATCGGTCTTCTGCAGGAAAAGTGTTAAAAGTTTAAGAAGGCTCAACACATACTAAGCAACAACTATTGCTATGATGAATTCAGGATCTTCGAGAAGTCTTCTGAATCCAGCTGCGTTAGTTCTGGCATCTGCGCATGCTTAACTTACGGTTTCAATTCTGCACATTGCGGAATGTAAACTGATATTGTGCCATAAGTGAAGATACGGCATCAACTCTGGCGGAACGGAATCTATGGTCGCTATATGTCTCGCTATCGTGAAATAAATTTCACCGGTTCGACAAAAATCAATATCATCAACACTATAATCTGCCATAAACAATTATCAAAGGAATATTAGACAACTGAAGCGTTAGTCATAAAGATTGATTGGTTGATTGGTGTTCGCTTAACGCCGCCTCAGAACAAAAAGGCGAGAGCTAATTTCAAAAAGAGAGGTAAAAGATACAAAAGGGACATTCATTCTACATAAGAAAATGCCTGTACCAAGTCAGGAATATGACAATTGTTATCCATTCGTTTGATGTGTTTGAGCTTTTGATTTTGCCCTTAGATTAGGGACTTTCCTTTTTGAATTTTCCTCGGAGTTCAGTATTTTTGTGATTTTACTTTTTTTCAAACTCATAAGTAGTAATTTCAAATATTTTTACAATCTAATGTAGTTTCAAAATTAGACAAAAGATCCTTAAATATAATAAAACTCAAGTTTAAAACAAAATTACTAATTTACAAATGAAATTCAACACTAAGACAATATTCATAAAGAAGGGCAATCAATGAACAAAAGACAAACCCGGGAACAGATAAGACACATAACGACAAACAATAGACAATCAACACTGAAAACTAAAAATAAATGAGAAACATGGATCCCGAAATAAAACCCAGAGACAACGTCAGAGGGTGCACAGAACTTGCTTGTTGCAAGACACTCGCCTTGAAAACAATTTGATATGAAGACAAGCTTTTGTTTCAACTTATTATTTTTTTGTTATTTCCAACATGAGGCATTTGCCTCATTTGCCTCAATGTAGTTACGGCCCTGTATGGCATACCTCACAAATTATCATTCCACAAACACAACTGATTCAATTATAGTGTTGAAAATTGCACTTACTATCTATTGATTATTTTTATTTTATTCTAATTAGAATTGTCATATTAAAATCTCTCAGAGGATTGCAAAAGGGAATTCAAAAGATTTTTTTCTTTTCAATACCAGGAAATACTATTGTAAACAGTTTAAAACACGAGAAAATATACTTTGTCATTAACTATATTTTAGTTATTTTGATAATATCAATCAATAAATTAACAGCCAAAATAATGTAGAAAGAAAAAGAAAAAAATGCTAAAAATCCCTTCCTTGTTCTATATGACAACAGCGTTCATCGGGTTTCAACCAAAATGGTTACATACGGTCGATGTGAATTTTAAAGACCCTGTCCGGGTCGAACCCACGATCTCCCGCGCTCGAGGCTAGCACGCTTCCACGAAACCATCTTTTCAAGCAAATTCTGTGTATAACAATGTCATAAAACAAAGACAATGTCATTATAGTTCAACACAAAACTATGACATTGTCATATAGTTTCCCGCACGTCAACCTGCACATAATATGAAAACTCCATATAATCGATAGTTTGATACACCTTAATAAGAAGATGTGATATGAGTGCCAATGAGACAACTCTCCATCCAAGTCACAATGTATAAAAAGTTAACAATTAAAAAAGTTCCTTTTTACGCAAAAGCAGGGTGAAATCAGGTACTCCAGAATGGTATGCAGTTCCTGCTTCAATAATCGCACCCGTCGTGTTGAAACAATGTGATATATCAATAACGGCGGGGGGGGGGGATAACTGTTCAACACATTCAATGTCCCAAGTCAGGTTTCTAATTGAAAGTATGATCTAAAAGAGTTCATGGAATTATTAACCGTTACCATCTCGAGGCGAACTTAAATAAAAAGAAAGAGAAATGGTTCACTCGAATGGATTTTCTGTCGATAATTCTGTTATGCCTATATCAATATTGGACTTCAGTGGGCTTTAATTTCTGAAAAATATCAATTTGAAACTGTTATGAAAAAGATCCATAGCGATCTATGCATTTATACTTTATTGTCCTTCGTAATCACTGCATAAAAGACGGTGCATCACTTGTTCACAACGCTATATATTCACGTGAAAACACATACAGCCATTACGATTTCTTGCCTGCAAATTCGTAAAACAAAGAAAAATTGACTAAAAACTAGAATAAACGTATTTTTACTTAAAGTAAGTATTAAACAATCAACCAATCTAATAAATAGAACCAGTAGTAAGTCATGTGATAGCCTTCCCTAGAATCCCCAACAACACATCCGGGCAATAATGATGGCAGCTGCTCCGTCATCTTAGTAGGAACCAGATATGTTCCATTCCATTGTATGTCGCATGCTGGAGGAGATGCATCTACTATGACGGAGGAATGAAATGTAAGATGTACAGACTGAAAAGAATAGTATATGTAGATAAATGGCAATTTTAACAAATGTTAGGTTTCTTATATAACATGCCGACTTTTGTCTATATTATATATTTCAAATAACTTGCAATTGCATGTAAATTGAATTTTCCAACATACATGACAAAATAAGCTTAGAAGTGCATCGCTTTAAATGGTACTATTTTAGGAAAATACACGTTGACAAAGGAGTAGGTAGGTTGACGAAGGGTTAAAAAGTAAAATCACAAAAATACTGAACTCCGAGGAAAATTCAAAAAAGGAAAGTCCCTAATCAAATGGCAAAATCAAAAGCTCAAACACATCAAACGAATGGATAACAACTGTCATATTCCTGACTTGGTACAGGCATTTTCTTATGTAGAAAATGGTGGATTGAACCTGGTTTTATAGCTAGCTAAACCTCTCACTTGTATGACAATCGCATCAAATTCCATTATATTGACAACGATGCGTGAACAAAACAAACAGACACAATAGGTAAAAATGTCAAAAATAGGGGTACAGCAGTCAACATTGTGTTATCATCTTAATCACTGGTCCTAAAATTTTATTTTGTTTTAATCTGATCAAATTATAATACTACAATTTTTACAGAGAAACAGTTGTGGTACAACTATTAATGCGAAATAACTTCTTTTGTTGGCACATCTGATATACTATAAATGAAATTAAAACACCTTAATTATACATAATTTGTGTTGAAGCGTCAGTTTTAGTCCATTTTTTGTTTATAATTTACTATAGTTTTTAGCATAACTGACTTTGGCGGTATCCCCTGATCCTGAACATTGTGAATTCTTTATATTCAACATAAACATTGACACCTTTTGATTTCATAACATTGAGGATTGTAGGTTGTGAACAAGCTTTCTTTAAGTATTTAGGTCCGTTAAATGATCACAATCATCGTGTTTTGACAAACAGACCAATATACGAACCAAAGTGTGGCCTTTTTTATATTTTTGGATAAAAGTTAAAATCTAAAGCGATACTTTAGCAAAAGTGAACCTTGTACTTTGAATATTATATAACACATTCATTAAAGTTTACCATTAAGCTTTTGCCATCCGTGGCCTGTTGAACGCTGAATTCAAGTGGCCCATGATCGCATTTACCGACCGAAATAGATTGAGATTTCTTCCCTGGAACAACAGCTGGTGTCTTAACAGTATGTATGCAGTCACTGTAAAATAGTGTATCAATATTTAAAAGGTTAATAAACCACAAACCAATCTTACCAGAAGTGTTTACGGGGGAAAACATACATATGCATGTAAGAAAAGAGAAAATGTATTTAAATTCATTGACAAAAAAATGTATTAATTATCGGTAATCTTTGAGTAAAAAGACTTATGTTATATTATACCAGATGTAATATTGCATTGGTTCTTGGGTCACTGCTCACGAGTTACTGCAGACTACGAGAAGAAGAGATCTGGTCAGAATCCAAGACTATTAGTGAATGATCGTTGCATACGTAACTTCTATTGGGAAACATTTCATGAATATTCAAGACGAGTCTACAAAAGTTGCTGACACATTGTCAACACGTTTTTGAGTACCACATATGTATGCAATTGTATTCAAGAAAAAAGAAGTCAATTTAAGCTTACCCCCAAGTGTCGTTTACTGTGATAAGGAATGTCACGCTATTGACCTTTTGAATTAAACTTTCAGCTTCTTTGCTACTGTCATTGGGTGATGACTGGAGAGTTCCACACACAAATATCTGCAGTACGAGATATGGAAGGAATTTCATGGTATTTATTAATCACCCATACACGACCTTTGCCAATTCTTCAACAAAAAGACAGATAAGATAAGTATATATATATATATATATAGCATGATTTACCTATCTTATGTCAGATACAAACAGTTTAATAACCTGGAGGATAGATAACTTAAATTAGTGTCTAAGACTTAGAGTAAATTTGAAATAAAAAGACAGGATAAAAGTTATTGCAAACATCTCTAGGACAATCCATATGATAATCACCCGAAATAGGCAGGTGAATATTTCAACACAACTGACCAGGAACGTTAGTATCTAAATATGTATCCAATGCTATAAAAACGAACCCCACCCAAAACCAAAAAATTTCAAGGTTCCATCGTCACATTTATAAACTGAAAATTTACGGTAATAGTTTGTAAAATAAAACTGGAAAAACATACGATGGTTTAAATTTGTATCCAGTAACCCGAGATCCTATGTCCTTGGGTGGTCACTGGATTGAAAGGTGGGATGAATACACAGGCACTTGTTTCTTTAAAAAATATAAAGGTACAATGCATTGGTTTAAATAAATCAGAGACAAGTTGTCTATGGATGAATAAATGACTTAGGTCGTTCCGGCTCCATGTCGATCCGGCCCCATGTAGATTCGGCCGAAGTCGATCCAGCCCAAGTCGTTCCGGCCCCATAATAAAATAATGCATAGTTACTATAAAAGTCGGAGAGGTTTCTGAAGCATTTGATTCAGAGCAAGTGGTTAATTGCATTTGAAAATGTTGTGAAGCCTATATTTTTTAGAACACAGTATTGATGATCAAAGACAACAAGTAATCAATTTTTTTTTTAAAAGATATTTTTTTCATCACAATGTATATAAATTTTTAGTATCAAATAGTATCCAAAAACAATCTCGCCTCGCATTTCTCAGCGCTCAATCTTCAATAATCGAGATTTACGCCCCTTTCAAAAATCCTGGATCCGCTACAGAAGGTAACGGGTAACTACAACCGGAAACTACTTGTGAGTCTGACATACGCTATTGGTATCTGATTCGACACGGAACTGGTTAATTATTGTAACAAAGGGGCCTGGAATGGTGTAATTTTTAAACAACACCTTTGTCCTATATTAGTTATATATATATCTTTGATTCGTCGTTTTAACGTCATGTCGGCTAACACATTGGATCTCGTTATTTTAGTAGTATAGATACTTAAGAATAGTGAGTTGTTTTAATCGATACATCTGGAAGTTTAATCATGTAAATATTTAAATTCTTTTCAAACATTGTTCGCATCAGTTTAGATCAGTGCTTGCCTGAATATAGTTTGCTGTAACGATAAGTGCAGATAACAATAAAAAATGATATTATTGTTACCTTCAATTTCCGTATGAAATCGGGCCCCTGTCCGGAAAAACTTTTCGGCAATTCGTCTCGGAAGTATTCTTGGCAAGCACAGCATTACTCCCAACACTGACCTACAATTTGTATTTACAGAAGGGCTATGTAAGTCTTATATTAGAATTTAAATGTGATCAGAAAAACAGCTCTCTGGCTACTGTTGATGTCCAATCCGCCTTTGATGTAGTCCAGCATCTGATACTCCTTGACAAATTTCTAGATTTACTATTCTGGCCTTACCACCAAAGTCAAATGGCAAGGAGAACTTAGTGATAGTTTCAATATATTCCAAGAGTCAGGCAGGGTGGAATATTATTAACTAATCTATATAAGATATTTGAAGAGGACCTCTTAGTAGAATTAAAGCAAAATTCAATTAATAAGCTTTAGTCTAGGAAATATATACTGTGCTGATGACATTGCCTTATTTTAAAAGTTCAAATCCATCAGAACTGCAAATAATGCTAAATAATATTGGACGGTCTGCAAATCAACATCATTACAATTTTCATCCAACAAAACCAAAAGTTATCTGATATTAATCCTCTAAGAACCACAACACAAATACATCGAATTTATCAGACATTACAACTCATCTTTCAGCAGAAACTACTCATTTAGGACTAAAAAGATCAAGCAAAAAAGAAATTGAAGTAAATATAGAAGACCTTTTAAAATTTGCACGAAGAACAAAATATGCCCTTATGAACTCATGACTTCACGATACAAATGGTCTAAGCCCAAAAGTCTCATACACAGTATAAAGAACATGCGTTTTTCTCCTTAACTAAAACTCAATTCCAGATATTGGAGAGATTTCATATTGGTACACTGCGTTCAATACAAGCTATTGCTACGAGAACAGCAAAACCTGCTGTATACTTGCTACTTGGAGTTCTATTTGTAGAAGCAGAAATTCATAAAAGGAAACTAACATTTCTACATTCCCTCACAACTTGTTCCAATATGAAAATTAAAGAAATCATCAAAAGACAAATCGCAGTGAACTACGATAACATCAAAAGCTTCTTCCATCAAACTGACTTATTACTGTCAAAATACAACCTACCGGACATTCTAGGCAAAAACACTGCTATTCCATCAAAACTCTCCTGGAAAAAACAAGTTAAAACAGAAATTTCAACATTCTGCATTCTGAGACTTTAAAATGCATTTCACTCTTATTGCTGTATAGTGCACCACCACTGGATTTTACCTACATGTAATATATTTTTACGTTACCCATTCTTAAATTTGACTATTAAATTTTACCCGTTAAGGAGTGTTCCTAATAACAGGAAGCTGATACGAATAAAAGAAGAAGAAGTAGTAACAATACTTATTTCTTATTGTTAGTTTTTGCGAGTAATCGTAGCCAGTGCCTACTTTTGTAGCAAGGGAAAGCATCATCAGCATTGCTATAACATACACATTAAAATGCAAACAAATATACTTTACAAAAGCTTTATTTAAAGTCGGACATGTTAAAGCATAGACAAAACAATATCTAATGTCATCTTTTACACCAACATTAACAATACATAAATAAAATGCTCCGCAGGGCGCAGCTTGATACGACCGCAGAGGTCGAACCCTGAACAGTTGGGGGAAGTATGGACACAACATTCAAGCTTGATACAGCTTTGGATTTGGATTGTGATTAAATATTTGACACAGCATAGGTTTCTAACACAGATTGAATGTGGTCTAAGAACTTAAAAATTTTAAATTGGACATTCACCTATTATGGTCCAATATCCAAAATCTAAATACATGGTTAGATTCAGCATATCAAAGAACCCCAAGAATTCAATTTTTGATGAAATCAAACAAAGTTTAATTTTGGACCCTTTTGACCTCAATGTGGACAAAGTTGATAACGGGGCCCAAAAATCAAAAATCTAAATACATGGTTAGATTCAGCATATCAAAGAACCCCATATATTCAATTTTTGTTGAAATCAAACAAAGTTTAATTTTGGACCCCGATTTGGACCAACTTGAAAACTGGGCCCATAATCAAAAATCTAAATACATGTTTAGATTCAGCATATCAAAGAACCCTAAGAATTCAATTTTTGTTAAAATCAAACTAAGTTTAATTTTGGACCCTTTGGACCTTAATGTAGACCAATTTGAAAACGGAACCAAAAATTAAGAATCTAAATACATGGTTAGATTCGGCATATCAAAGAACCCCAATAATTCAATTTTTGATGAAATCAAACAAAGTTTAATTTTGGACCCTTTTGACCTCAATGTGGACAAAGTTGATAACGGGGCCCAAAAAATCAAAAATCTAAATACATGGTTAGATTCAGCATATCAAAGAACCCCATATATTCAATTTTTGTTGAAATCAAACAAAGTTTAATTTTGGACCCCGATTTGGACCAACTTGAAAACTGGGCCCATAATCAAAAATCTAAATACATGTTTAGATTCAGCATATCAAAGAACCCTATGAATTCAATTTTTGTTAAAATCAAACTAAGTTTAATTTTGGACCCTTTGGACCTTAATGTAGACCAATTTGAAAACGGAACCAAAATTTAAGAATCTAAATACACAGTTAGATTCGGCATATCAAAGAACCCCAATAATTCAATTTTTGATGAAATCAAACAAAGTTTAATTTTGGACCCTTTGGACCTCAATGTGGACCAATTTAAAAACAGGGCCCAAAATCCAAAAACTAAATACACGGTTAGATTCAGCATATTAAAGAACCCCATGAAATCAAGAATAAAACCCCATTGAAATTGGTCAAGAAATAAGCAATTTATAGGAAGTATCTTCTTTTGCACAATCCTGTGCTATTAAATATTTCTTGCTATTGCGCAATACTGTACAATTGACAATTTCTTGCTATTGCGCAATATTGTGCTATTGGATATTTCTTGCTATTGCGCAATACTGTGCAATTGAAGATTTCTTGCTATTGCGCAATACTGTGCAATTGAAGATTTCTTGCTATTGTGCAATACTGTGCAATTGAAAATTTCTTGCTATTGCACAATACTTATTATATAATAATTTACACATCCTGTTTGGTGTGTATCTCCTACCATATCATTATTATTTGATTTTAAATATAAATCAGAAATAACCAACTTAAAATGGAAAATTTTAAAAGAAACAAAAAAGGAAAAAAAGAAAAAAAAGGAAAAAAAATAAATCCCCCCCAAAATTTTTTGAACCCCCATTATGATTCATTACCCCCAAACTCAATCCCAGCCTTCCCTTTGTGGTATGGTACCTTGCAGTACAATTTCAGAGAGATCCATACACTTGAACACAAGTTATTGTCTGGAAACTAGAAAAAAATGCTTATTTTTGGCCCCTTTTTGGCCCCAAATTCCTAAACGTTTAGGGCAATTACCCCCAAACTCAAACCCAGCTTTCCCTTTGTGATATGGAACCTTGTAGTACAATTTCAGAAAGATCCATACACTTACACACAAGTTATTGTCATGAAACTAGAAAAATGCTTGTTTTTTGCCCCTTTTTTGGCCCCTAATTCCTAAAATTTGGAGGCAATTACCCCCAAAATCAATCCCAGCATTCCTTTAGTGATATGGAACCTTGTGGTACAATGTCAGAGAGATCCATACACTAACACACAAGTTATGTCTGGAAGTTACAAAAATGCTTATTTTTGGCCCCTTTTTGGCCCCTAATTCCTTAACTGTTGGTACCATAACCCCCAAAATCAATCCCAACCTTCCTTTTGTGGTATTGAACCTTGTGGTAAAATTTCATAAAGATCCATTCACTTAAACTAAAGTTAGAGTGCGAAAACCAATGTGTCTTCGGACGACGCCGGACGACGACGACGACGACAACGCCGGACGACGACGACGACGCCAACGTCATACCAATATACGACCACAAAAATTTTTTTGCGGTCGTATAAAAACAAAGACAAGACATACAATACACATAAGGCATATACATAAGCATGCTTACATCATACACAGACAAAAGCATTTGGACAAAACGACAAAAGTGTGCAGTATTTATTATACCGATGTCATCACATTACATTGTGGCATTTTCATGAATTGGTTGTTTATTTGGGGACGACCATTTTCATAATTTCGAGGAGGGGTTAGGAGGAGTTTTTTTTAACAGAAATACTTAATTTCAATCATTGCAATGAAAATGTATTTATTTTTTGGAGACAATGCTGCATTAAAATATTTTACTTTTATTTTTCAGGAACAACTACCGGTATTGCCCACATTTTGTATGCTTAGATATTTTCAAGCTGACTTTGAAATGCTTTTGATATTTGACAATTGCAATGTGTGGTTACTTATTTTCAACATCCTTCTGCCTCAAATAAGTATCAAATGGTCGTCCCTTACTAACTTAAGAGATCAAACAAACATATCTCCTATGTCATCTATCCGACTATATAACCAGTTCTGCCATGATCCTGACTGAACTTGTTATAGAAATGACTCCATTCTAATGAGATATTGGATGATTCATGCATAGCAGGAGATATTTTTCGTATTCATGGAACTGTTCACACTCTTCTTGAAGTTGATACAATTTTCATTCTTATTTTCATACAATGGCTATCAGAACCGATGAGACAACTGTATAGTTATTTTAGTTACAGATATTCCAACAAGGTTATGAGGAAAATAAGTTGAAACAACCTTGGAATTGCATGAAAGACTTATGTTATCATATGCTTTGACATTGCTTGTAGAACTGGTGCTTTTCATTTGACCATGTCCTCGTACAATAAATAAAGTGCCAATAAACAAAAACAAAATAACAATTCAGAACAAAATATAACAAAAATACATGTCAACAAATGCTTTTTAATATTATGCTAGCCTAAAGTACAAATGTATAATTAATAAATTTTAATTAAAAGATTCAAACATATCATTGAATAAACACTACTTTTAATAATAATTAAGTATTATGACTAAATTATTTAAATTAAAACTGTATAGATAAAGATATATTCCTGAAAGATTGTGCAACACATTACACACAAGATATGGAAACTCTGTATTATAAATGGAATGTGCTGATGTAGCTACCTAATTATATCTCTAGTTTTGGATTTTTTGGATATTAAATGATTGTCATGATTGGTAAAGATTAAAACATGGGGTATTCTTCTGGACAGTATCCGGGTCCATTAATAGGTTCAGCAGCAAATCCTCGACTGAAAAAATATAAAAGATTTTTTTAAATTTCAAGAATTTAATAACATAAAAGTAAGTTATAAATTTCTTAAGCGCAACTTCATTATTAAAATCAAATCAGTAATTTATATGAACATCTAAATAAAATTTACTTAATAAACATCGAGTAACCAAATACATCATTTTTTTTAAGTATGAATCTATTCCATGTGTATGACCTCGTCATGTACACCATCGGACGCATGAAATTTATAAAATGTTATTTTCATTTACTAGAACTGGGTCTATACCACTGCTGGTGGACTGTTAGTCCCTGTATCAATAGCTCAGTAGTCAGTGCTTCAGTAATATAATGATTCATAACTTAACTTTTCTTAGATTCTTCGTTTATATATTAAAAAAATATTAAGAAACTAAGGATTCAACTCCCTCAGGCAAAGTTAACCTTAGATGAATTTGGCTTTTCTTTTTATGTCCCTTTTGAACATAAGGCTCATCACATATTAGGGTATTTATGCATTAATGGCTTTCAATTGTTTGGATTTGAGCGTTTCTAGTCGAGGTATTAAATTTAGAAAAGCGGTTCAGACACAAGAAATTTCTAAAGTGTTGTTTTCATCTATCAGTGTAATAAATTAAGGATATTATAAGAATAATTCAATAATAACCTGGTACCTTCACTGCTATAAAAACAGACATTATACATCATGTGTTTACGTTTTCAATATTTAAAAAGTTTCTTCTAGGAACTACCAATTTAGACTATTCCTGAAAATTTATACTAACCTGACCATTCTACATCTATGTTCTTCAAGCCTTGGCGCTGCCTCGGCTGTATTTTTTAAAGACATATCACTCCATAAACGTTCACCTACTGCAGCTGCTCTTGGCCTATGTAATAAATACACATAATTAGTTTAACATACCTTTACCAATACAAGTAAACAAGGAATTTAATAACATATGAAATTCAATTTAGCAAAAATCAAAGTTTACCTTCAAGTTACGAAATTATAAAGAAACTAGGGTCACAACTCCCTCAGGGAAATTTGACCTAAGAGGAATTTGGCTAATTTTTTAGGCCTTTTTGGTCATATAGCTCTTCACAGGTATTATATATACTTGGCTTTCATATGTTTGGGTTTGAGCATTCCTGATCAAGGTAAATCAAAATAAAGCGTTTCGTTCACATGAATAAAGTGTATAATCATTTACCATTCTAATGCAACATTGTTTGTAACGTTCATTTTGATTGGATAACGTCACCAACTCTCATGGCATCAATTCACAATATGATGTGAAAACATAGCGCAAGAGCAGTCGACGTATGACAGATTTTAAATGTATGATTTGACATTGTTTTCTGTCAGTTTCATTAGAATGAGATAACAATATTATATTTTGCTCCGACGGCATCAATTGGTGATTTGATGGTCGCAAATACCTGTTTACTGGCTCCGCGTTATCTCATAATTTTACATTAAAGATAAAAGTATAATTTCCAAAGAAAAAGTTGTCCACTATAGGTCATTAGAAAGTCTAAACGTTTTATTTATGCAAGAACTGCAAGGAAACTATAATAATTAGAATGTATGGACTTCTTTTTAAAGTTCCTACTTGCCATACCTTTTGATCATTTAGTTATTGTGCTAATAGTTCTAGTACGTCTCTTACCAAAATCTAGCAATCAAGTTGGTGTCATCAACAAATTCACCCCACATACAGGTTTCACCACCAATAATTAATTTCTTCTGTTCATCAGTACCTACATGTACAACACCGAAAAAATATCATGTACAGTTTAATATAATATATACAGTCAACAATTGTGAAATCAATAAACATACATCAAAATCATTACGGAATGTGACCAATTAACGTTAATAGATAAAAAACATTTTCATTACTTTATGGCATCATATAAATGGACATTTATCACAGTATGTGTATGTCTTACAATGTATTCAGTACGTTTTGAAATGTTTTAGTTGCCAACTATAAAAATTGCATTATAATCTTTTTTTCCAAATTACCGTTAAATTGTTGTGGATCACAAGCATAATATTTTCTCCAGTCATCACCATATGATATGTAGTTCAAGTACCAACAAGATGATAGCAATGTTTTATATCCTAGCTTAGTTATTTTGGCAAGTTCTTCTACATATCCACCCTTCCAAACCTCTACAACTGTATCTGGTTGTACCTACATTATAACAGTGTATAAGAGATTGATATTCAGGTAGTTACTTCTATGATTACAGCAATTATCTTAGATTTTTTCATGTCTTCCAATATTGTAATTTTAAAGAAGAATGTAATTAACATTGATTGATTGATTGATTGGTAATTGCTTTACACCGCATCAGCTATATCGTGTTGAGGATCATTAACATTGAAGTTTCTTAATTTATTAACTATACTTGAAGTTTTTTACTTTATATTTTTGTTTTTTTGGAGGTGTTCTTTCAGTGATCTGCCTTTATCCTGTTAATTTTTCAAACTCCTTTATGATGAAATGTGACAATGCTATGAAATACAAAGCATATTTTACCATAGCTCCATTGTCTATTACTTCTTGCCATATAAGGTATCCTTTGTTTAACTTTTTACCAATGATATTTAACAAACTGAAACGAGAAAAGGCAGGAAAAAATCAACATAAAGAGACTTTTGATGTACTAGAGTTTATTTAAAAATTACAATTATAAAAAGAAAAAGTCTACTTGTTTTGTTAAAGGTACAGAAGCATGTGGGGACTCCTTTTACTGACATGAATCATGATAATGAGGGCAAACCCAACCCTTTACCCTAAAATAGAAATAAAAAAATCCTTTTGGTTACTTATAGGAATTTGCAATATGCTATGACTGTACACATGAAAGTTCATAATCTGCAAAATGTAAATATTTAGATACAGATATTTTCCATATGACAAACACTTTGTGTGTAAATATTGATGAATGTGTCTCATAGAAAATTCTATTTGTTTTTTTATAGTCTGTTTGTATGAATCTTTAATGCACTGTTCATAAAAGGCATTGGTTGTAAAAGTGTTATATATTAATGGTACACTCAATTAAATTACTACTATAGCTGACATAGCTTCCAAAAGTATCTGATACAAAATAAATGATAGACAAAGTAATCTTTTCGTTTAAAAATTTTTATTTAATTTTCTTTCAGCATATAACAGGTCATTCAGTGGATGCATTAACTCCTGCTCTGAAAATATCAAATCCTCTGCATGGACAGAATGGTAAAGAGTCAAGAAATGATGGGCATTTGTGCATGCTTTTTTATTGTTTTTTTGTGTTTTACAATTTTTTAAGACAATTCCTGTCTCAAATTACTAACTAAATGTGAAACGTATCTAACGCATAAGATTGCTGCAACTGTTAAAATATTGGGTGCTATAGATTTCTTTTCTATAACTGTTAAAATAAAGGGGGCCAGTGATTTCTTTTATTTACCAAGAACAGAACAAAACTATCAATGAAGAACTTCTGCATGCTAAGGTTATTAAAATGAAAACAAAATTCTGTTGGTTTTCTGAAAGACGTAAAGGAAATCGTTCCACTGCAATGTGACTAATGTAAAAACACCAATGCATGTATCTTATCTTTTATGAAGATATATTAAGCTGTCAAAAAATAGGTTTTGTCATTTAGTCTTTGGAAGATTTTTAATGTTAACCATGCATAAATGTTTTTTTTCTGACGACCTATTATCTTTTGAATTGAAATTTTAATATTTTTAAAAACTAGACGCTTCTCTCTTTTGGTATTTCTATTTCAGGAACCTTTGAAAGGATTCTTGTCAATTAAAATCAAGTGTTCTATCAGGTTTCTTACTTCTGCATGTAATATTGTTCCAGTTTTGAATAACTTGTTCCAAAACTCATTTTTGACATGAATGTTGTTATATCTGGGTTACTCTGCCTAAAAATAAAATAATAATATCTTGTTTTACAATACTTGATGCAGATTACATTGATTTGTGTTATGCGCTAAACCCAAAACATATCCATAAAATCAATACTTTTTTTATTCAAAAGTCTTCAACTGAGTTACAAGGCACAGTATTTCCTTAGCAGGACTTAATTGTTATTGTTCTGTATCATGTTTCACATTTTAGGTATGATTGATAAAAACTTTAGTTCTAATCATTCCACATATCTATTTAAGTAATTTTCCTATTTCTAATCTTTATTTTATCTGAATATTGACATGTTTGTTTTCAGTATTTTTTTTCGTTAATGTTCATGCATGATCTCCTTCATTTTAAAATTCTCTACATAAAACTAGAAGAATAAATTTTTTTCACATCAATTGCAAGGTACTTTTAACATTTTTTTTATTATGCCCCCGCCGTAGCGGAGGGGGCATTAAGTTTTACCCTTGTCCGTCTGTACGTACGTACGTACGTACGTACGTCCCGAAATTGGTTTCCGTTCTCTAACTTGAGTTTGCCTCAACCAAATGTTATGAAACTTATACACAATGCTTATAACCACAAAACACAGATCAAGTTTGAATTTTGGTGGCGTCACTTTAACCGATCTAGAGTTATGCCCCTTTATAAAAGGAAATATTGCAAAATTTTTAGTTTCCGTTCTCTAACTTAAGTTTGCCTCTACCAAATGTTATGAAACTTATACACAATGCGTATTACCACAAAACACAGATCAAGTTTGAATTTTGGTGGTGTCACTTTAACCGATCTAGAGTTATGCCCCTTTATAAAAGGAAAAATTGCAAAATTTTTATTTTTCTTCTAAATATCAAGTTTATATAATATATTTTTAAAATTGGAGTTATCTTCCTTTGACCATGATTATAGTTGAATCAACTACAATCAATGCTTTATACAATGCAATGTTTGATTTTGACTTCCACTGATAAAACACAGATCAAGTTGAATTTGGGTAGTGTCACTTTAACCATTATTGAGTTATGCCCCTTTATAAATAGAATGATTGCAAAATTTTTTAGTTTCCATTCTGTAACTGAAGTTTTCCCCAGCCAAACATTATGAAACCTATACACAATATTCATTACCACAAAACTCAGTAAGGATCAAGTACAATTTTTTTGTTTCAGTTCTCTAACTTGAGTTTGCCTCAACCAAATGTTATGAAACTTATACACAATGCTTATTACTACATAATACAGATTAAGTACGAAATTAGGTGGCAACACTTTTACCATTCTAGAGTTATGTCCCTTTATAAACATAAAAATTGCTGAATTTTTTAGTTTGTCTCAACCAAATGTTGTAAAACTTATACACAACCGTTCTAGAGTTATGCGTGTTTACAAATAGAAAAATTGCTGAATTTTTAGTTTCTGTTCTCTACTTAAGTTAGCCTCAACCAAATGTTATGAGACTTACACACAATGCTTATTACCACAAAACTCAGATCAAGTTCAAATTTGGGTAGCGTCACTTTTACCGTTCTTCAGTTATGTCCCTTTATAACTATATGATATGCAAGCGGGGGCATCATCTGTGTCCACATGTGGACACTATCCACATTTATATATTTTCTTACCAACATCCAAATGAAACTTCATCACCACCAAGATGGATATATTGATCTGGGAAGGTGTTTGCTACGTCACCGAAAAATGTCTCCAAGAAAGTATAAGTACTATTCTTAGATGGGTCTACTGGTCCATAGTTACCATCAAATACACCCTTACTGTAACATTTCGTCAATAAATCTGGTATACCCTTTCCCCATGATTGAGTATGTCCTACGCGATGAGAAAAAACAATTATGTAAAAGGTTATATAATATGAATTATTGTGATTAAACTTTGACAGAAATGTCACTAAGATATTGATTATATAGTCAAAAATGTTAAAGCTTGGGAAAAAGAAAAGAAAATTGTGTGATATAGATGATATCAATTCGATAAAACGTACCTTTTGAATTTATGAAGTCATTTTCTAAATGCAAACATTTCTGGTATTTACACATATACTAGTAGTAAGAGGTGACATTAGTTGACTGATATTCAAATCTGATGTATCCTTTAAGATGATACTAATTAAGATAAAATAACAATAAAATGCTCCGCAGGGCGCAGCTTGATACGACCGCAGAGGTCGAACCCTGAGGATTGGGGCAAGTATGGACACAACATTCAAGCTTGATACAGCTCTGAATTTGGATTGTGATTAAATATTTGACACAGCATAGGTTTCTGACACAGAATGAATGTGGTCTAAGAACTTAAAAATTTTAAATTGGACATTCAACTATTATGGTCCAATATCCAAAATCTAAATACATGGTTAGATTCAGCATATCAAAGAACCCCAAGAATTCAATTTTTGATGAAATCAAACAAAGTTTAATTTTGGACCCTTTTGACCTCAATGTGGACAAAGTTGATAATGGGGCCCAAAAATCAAAAATCTAAATACATGGTTAGATTCAGCATATCAAAGAACCTCATATATTCAATTTTTGTTGAAATCAAACAAAGTTTAATTTTGGACCCCGATTTGGACCAACTTGAAAACTGGGCCCATAATCAAAAATCTAAATACATGTTTAGATTCAGCATATCAAAGAACCCTAAGAATTCAATTTTTGTTAAAATCAAACTTAGTTTAATTTTGGACCCTTTGGACCTTAATGTAGACCAATTTGAAAACAGGACCAAAAATTAAGAATCTAAATACACGGTTAGATTCGGCATATCAAAGAACCCCAATAATTCAATTTTTGATGAAATCAAACAAAGTTTAATTTTGGACCCTTTGGACCTCAATGTGGACCAATTTAAAAACGGGGCCCAAAATCCAAAAACTTAATACACGGTTAGAATCAGCATATTAAAGAACCCCAAGAATTCAAGAATAAAACCTCATTGAAATTGGTCAAGAAATAAGCAATTTATACGAAGTATCTTCTTTTGCACAATACTGTGAAATTGAATATTTCTTGCTATTGCGCAATACTGTACAATTGACAATTTCTTGCTATTGCGCAATATTGTGCTATTGGATATTTATTGCTATTGCACAATACTGTGCAATTGAAGATTTCTTGCTATTGCGCAATACTGTGCAATTGAAGATTTCTTGCTATTGTGCAATACTGTGCAATTGAAAATTTCTTGCTATTGCACAATACTTATTTTATAATTTACACATCCTGTTTGGTGTGTATCTCCTACCATATCATTATTATTTGCTTTTAAATATAAAACAGAAATAACCAACTTAAAATGGAAAATTTTAAAAGAAAAAAAAAAGGAAAAAAAGAAAAAAAAGGAAAAAAAAAAATCCCCCCCAAAATTTTTTGAACCCCCTTATGATTCATCACCCCCAAACTCAATCCCAGCCTTCCCTTTGTGGTATGGTACCTTGCAGTACAATTTCAGAGAGATCCATACACTTGAACACAAGTTATTGTCTGGAAACTAGAAACATGTTTATTTTTGGCCCCTTTTTGGCCCCTTATTCCTAAGCGTTTTGGGCAATTACCCCCAAACTCAATTCCAGCTTTCCCTTTGTGATATGGAACCTTGTAGTACAATTTCAGAAAGATCCGTACACTTACACACAAGTTATTATCTTGAAACTAGAAAAATGCATGTTTTTTGCCCCTTTTTGGGCCCCTAATTCCTAATATTTTGAGGCAATTACCCCCAAAATCAATCCCAGCATTCTCTGTGTGATATGGAACCTTGTGGTATAATTTCAGAGAGATCCATACACTTGAACACAAGTTATTGTCTGGAAACTAGAAAAATGCTTATTTTTGGCCCCTTTTTGGCCCCTTATTCCTAAACGTTTTGGGCAATTACCCCCAAACTCAATTCCAGCTTTCCGTTTGTGATATGGAACCTTGTAGTACAAAGTCAGAAAGATCCACACACTTACACACAAGTTATTGTCATGAAACTAAAAAAATGCTTGTTTTTTGCCCCTTTTTTGGCCCCTAATTCCTAATATTTTGAGGCAATTACCCCCAAAATTAATCCCAGCATTCCCTGTGTGATATGGAACCTTGTGGTACAATGTCAGAGAGATCCATACACTAACACACAAGTTATGTCTGGAAGTTACAAAAATGCTTATTTTTGGCCCCTTTTTGGCCCCTAATTCCTTTACTGTTGGTACCATAACCCCCAAAATCAATCCCAACCTTTCTTTTGTGGTATTGAACCTTGTGGTAAAATTTCATAGAGATCCATTCACTTAAACTAAAGTTAGAGTGCGAAAACCAATGTGTCTTCGGACGACGCCGGACGACGCCAGACGACGACGACGACGACGACGACGACGACGACGACGCCAACGTCATACCAATATACGACCACAAAAAATTTTTTGCGGTCGTATAAAAACTGAGGGAATCGCATAAACTCCAAAAGGAGCCAGAGCGGTGGGGCCAAAAGCGTATGCATCAACAGCTAAGTGAATCAACACTCAGTCATAACGGTCACAATCTGGAATAGGACACAATCTCTAAATTTACAGAACAGACAATTATTCACAGACTGGTATCTAAATATCCGAGACCGTGAAAACATGTCGCTATTAAGTTGAGACACAGCCACTTTGTATCGGTCCATCAATTGTGAAATGTAGTCTCGATTTCAGCCGTTCTTCCTCATTACTCTGTTGGAGCATTTTTTGTGTCAGGAGCACTCCCTTATAATAAAGTCTATACAGTGTGAACATGCACAAGCGTAACATCTTATTTGAGATTTGTAAACGATAAACGATGGGGACAAAGGGTAGGTTAATTCTGATCAATAGTAAACTGACAATTGGATAGTTCATCGTTGGTCATTGATTCTAGTTTGAAGTCGGCCAGCTGTACATGTGTCAATCTCGAGGAAAAGTTTAAAATATGAAGCAGACTTTCTTGTTCACGTAATATCCTTAATCTTAAGTTCACTATGATATGTGAGATGCAAGCACTCATTGAAATGTAGGATATTGAGTGACAGAGCATCATCAATACATCTGAAAGTGAAATTAAAGAACCTTGCAAGATATCTTTAAACAAACGAAATATACATATAATTAAGTCCTACTTACCTGGAGTATCAAACTCTGGTATGACACGAATCCCCCTCATTCTTGCAAAACCAATAATGTCCAAAACATTAGAAGCTGTGTATATATGGCCAGATCCTGGATAAGATCCCTTTAAGATACAAGTTTAACATCATTAGAATTTATACATATAGTTTTAAACTTCTGTCGATTTCACAAACCTCGAGTGCATTGATAAGCCTAACAGTTGCTCTGCAAAATGAGTTTATAACTTACAAATTGGTCCGCAGTGTATTTACACTAAAGGCTGTGAATAGCAAGTAACTACTTAAGTTTAATGCCAATTTGTTGGCAAATCTGCATGGCTGGTCACCATATTTAGCTCTTTTATATGTTAAACCAGAGACATATGTGTATATATGGCTCTGGTTAAATAATATTCTCTGTGTCAGCCTGCATTTCATTTTCTGGTTGCCATGGTTAGCTTTTTCCATTGATTATTTCCAAACGAAATTGTCATCTTAATAATCATAATAATTTTCATTTTTTCTAAAATACCTTTTGGCTCATTTCAGGAAATGCTGCACTTGTATAAGGAAAAGATTGGTCGTCCACAATGTGCCAATGTAATACATTAAACTTGTTCTGAGCCATAGCCTCCTGTTCAATATAAATAATAAAAAGTAAGTTCTCACTCTTTATGGTACAAAAACATCACGAATAGCTAGCGAAGATGATATTCAGGGGGATAGGTGTGCCTTATGGCCAAAAATCTGATATTTTTTCTTTCAAATATTTCTGATATTTAATTCCCGACGTTTTAGGCAAAGTATTTCTCTGGGCTCTTTTTTTTTAAACTGAATCCTGTATAATACATTGTATTTTACATAACACATACTCAAAATGACAGATCACAATAATAGCTCGCAAAACGTATCTTATTTAATATGTTTTATTGATTTAATGTCTAATAATATAATTCTCTAAATAATATCTCATATAATACTTTTTTAATTCTTTTTAAAATATTTGGCATCAAACTATGAGAATAGTATTTCACTTACTATATGTTCCTTGATGACGTCAACAGATAAAAAATGTCTAGATGTATCTATCAACATTCCACGATGCTGAAATCTAGGAAAGTCTGTGATAGTTGTTCCATTAATGAAATACTACAGAAAATATACCACTTGCTTATTAGCTTTCGAGATAAAACATATATAAAATGAACATTCATGAAAGAAAATTACAATTTTAAAGCAAACAAAATACATGCGTACACTTTTATTGTATTTTTTTATTTTAAAGTTCACATATCAGTAAACTAAATTCAATATGGCATTCGTTTTCAATGTAAAAATTCATCAAATATATCCCAGGCTTATGATTGGTTACGCAAGACGAGCGTTCCGTCTACATCAGCGACGCTCTGATCAAAACAACTGAAAGGCCAAATCAAATACGAAATTTGACGAACATTGAAAACCGAAAATTCCGAAACGTGTTGCCAAATACGACTAAGGCATGGAGGTAGAAAAACCTTATGTTTTGACTAATTAAAATTTTATAAACTGAAAATGCCCGTAATCTTTAATTACTATTTCACAGAAGTGCTAATTTCTTGGCTGGTGATACCCCAGGCGACAAAATGTCCATCAGCTATGATTCAGAATGAACCTTTGATCAAATGTGGGTCTTCTACAATTGCTCTTAAAAAGTATGTCAGTCCTAAAAGAACATGCTCTTCATCGTTTGTATTTGGGTTTGTTTTTTTAATATTTTTTTGGCCTCAAGTGCCACTGATGTAGAAATGCGAATCTGGTCTAGTAAAATTGGTACCGTTTCTGTTATGTTGATGGCTATAAATAATAGCGATTAAGGGCACACAAAAAAATAAGAACGGGGTACATACGACGACAAAGGGCAGACATAACTAGAGGCTCTAAAGAGCCTGTGTTGCTTACCTGCATCTTCAACAATGGCCACTTTTTAGTAAAAAATTAGCATTAAAGGGAAACAACCTTATTAAGGATTAACTGACAATTTCGGTAATAATGATATACTTGTAGATCTTATCCTGCTGATATTTTTTCCTTTTTAAAGTTTCTATTTATTTATTAAATTTTCAAAATAATAGGCAAAAATGCCAAAAAAAAGGTAAAAAATTATCATTAAAAGGCACTAACTCTAAAAACGAGTCGACTGAAGATTTCGGCCATTATGGCTCATTTAAAGATCTTGTCTTGCTGATCATTTGTGCTATTTAAATTTTTTGTCTATCCATTACAGTTTTCAAGATAATAGGGAATAATGGGGAAAATCGTCATTAAAGGGCAATAACTTCAATAAGTAGTCTACTAACGATTTTGAGTCATGTTGACTTATTTGAAGATCTGATCTTTTTTATCATTTTTTTGCTAGTATTGTGTCTATCTATCTATTACAATTTTTAAGTATAATGCAAAAACGCAAAAACAAAATGATAAGATCGCCATAAAGGGAAATAACTCTAATAAGGAGTCGTCTGACGATTTTGGTCATGTTGACTTATTTGTAAATCTATTCTTGCTGACCAATTTTGCCTGTTAAAGTTTCTGTCTATCTATTATAATTTTCTAGATAATAGGAAATAAATGGGGAATGTGTCCATGGGACACAGATGATGCCCCCGCTTGCATATAACATTATAAAGAGACATAATTCAAGAACGGTAAAAGTGACGCTACCCAAATTCTTACTTGATCTGAGTTTTGTGGTAATAAGCATTGTGTATAAGTTTCATAACATTTGGTTGAGGCAAACTTAAGTTAGAGAATGGAAACGGAAAATTAAGAATTTTTTCTATTTGTAAAGAGGCACAACTCTAGAAATGTAAAAGTGACGCCACCCAAACTCAAACTTGATCTGTGTTTTGTGGTAAAAAGCTTTGTGTATAAGTTTCATAACATTTGGTTGAGGCAAACTAAAGTTAAGAGAACGAAAACCAATTTCGGGATGTACGGAAGTACGGACGTACAGACGGACAAAGGTAAAACTTAATGTCCCCGCTGCTCGGTGGGGGCATAATATGTTTTTTAAAATAGTATAATTCGTCATTCAAGCGCAATAACTCCTATAAGAAGTCGTAGGACAGTTTTGACGTAAAATAGACAATAGGTGGAGCTCAACATTCTGAACATTTTTGCTCCTGCATTTTACCCCTATGTTCTATCTTAGCCATGTCGGCCATCTTGGTTGGCAGGAGGGGTCATCGGACACATTTATTAAACTAGATACCCGAATGATGATTGTGGCCAAGTATGGTTAAATTTGGCACAGTAGTTTCAGAAGAGAAGATTTTTGTAAAAGTTAACAGGTGACGACAGACACAAAGTGATGAACAAAGCTCACATAGCTTTTCGGCCAGGTGAGCTATAGAAAGGCGACAAGAAAAGAAGATTATAAATCACTAAGCAGAAAACCAAGTCCGTGCAATACGAATCTTATAAAAAATCGAAGGTGAAATCAAATGCTCCAGAAGGGTTAATAGTTCCTGAACTTCTTGCTACATTAAAGTGCATTCGTTTTTTCTTGTCTACCTCTTCGTTGTTTACAAAGACTGCATGCCAACATTTTCAAAATAAATAAACTTAGTTCAAATCTGTATGTTGTATAGAGTATATTGACAGGCTATTAAAAATCATACCTGAAGACTACGTCTAACTATAAGTTGACTAAATGTTTCCAGTCCTCTGAGAGCACCCCAGACTTCATTGGCATTAATAGAAATACCAGATGCACTGACAACGAGATCGTCTAAAAGGATAAAATTCATTCTTCGAAATTTATGATTTCAAAAATTCATGATACCATGCGTTTAAAAAATCTTTTAGGGATCTCCCGTTCTTTATTTGCTGACTGGAGCCATCTATTTATGTCTGTTGCACTGATTTATAAAATACCGCTACTTACGATCGGACTCGGGATAAATTTTAGAAGACAAGTGAGATCAGTGTACTTTTTTTTTTTTTCGTTAATAAAATCTGTGAAAAGACATTATTACGGTCTAGGTAAATAAATGGGCTATGTCACATATTTTAGTATAAATTTGCATACAACTTAAGCACACTCAACTATAAATGAAAATTGAAAACAAGAAATGATTGTAACAGGATGCTGTTACGAAGTTTCCCAAACGAAGCTCCCATAATTTGTCATTCCCAGGGTCGCCTGACATCACAAAGTCCAGTGAAAATTGGTTTGCTCCAGTAAAATATGCATTAGTGATGCCTGGGGACTGACCCTGTATATCATTCGAATCTTCTTGACATGACGAATAGGACTATATATGGTTTAGGGGTGGGGATCTCGACCATTTACAAGATATTAGATCATTGGGGATGGGGGACCTCTAGGGACTGACCCTATATATCATTCAAATCTTTTTGACATGACGAATAGGAATATATATGGTTTAGGGGTGGGGATCTCGACCACTTACAAGATATTAGAACTTTCTCAAATGGCAGGGGGTGGGGTGATCCCTGGGGACTGACCCTATATATCGATCAAATCTTCTTGACATGACGAATAGGAATATATATGGTTTAGGGGTGGGGATCTCGACCATTTACAAGATATTAGATCATTGGGGGTGGAGAACCCCTGGGGACTGACCCTATATATCATTCGAAACTTTGTGACATGACGAACGGGAATAAATAGGGTTTAGGGGAGGGGATCTCAACCATTTACATGATATAAGAACTTTCTCAAATGGCAGGGGTGGTGGTGATCCCTGGAGACTGATACTTTATTTCATTTAATGTACTGTATCATGACTAACCAGAATATATATGGTTTAGGGGTGGGGATCTTGACCATTTACAAGATATTAGAACTTTCTCAAATAGCAGGGGGGTGGGGGGACCCCTTGGGACTAATACTTTATTTCATTTGATGTGCTGTATCATGACTAACCAGAATATATATGGTTTAAGGGTGGGGATCTCGACCATTTACAAGATATTAGAACTTTTTCAAATGGCAGGGGGTGGGGTGACCCCTGGGGACTAACCCTTTATTGCATTTGATGTGCTTTATCATGTAGAACATTTTCAATTATAAAGATTGTGTCTATCACTAACAGTTTTCAAGTTATCATTTGAAAATTAAAAAAAATAAAATCCCTTAGGGTTCTATAGTAAACCCCTCCCTTCTTTTGTCCCTCAAAGTACCCCTTTTTAGACCCCAATGCACAAACGAAGCCCTGATTGCACCACTAGACATATTAGTCTAACATATTGTGAAACCTTAAGTAAATCTGACTAGCGGTTTTGGAGAACGGGTGCGGACAAGTTCATTTAAAAAAGTGGCGGAGGAGGAAGAGGGAAGAGGGAAGTGGGATGAATAATAATAAGAAGAAGAAGAACTGAGCAAAAACAATAAGTCTTCCCAAACTTAAAAATAATGCATCTATCTCTTTTATTTTCTGTAATGAATTAATTCTTTCAAAATTGGTAAACATTTGTATAAAAAGCACAAAAAGTCGTCGAAAAACGTTCTTTAATTTGTACTAAAATAATCAATTCTTCAAAATTCCCAACCTATAGATTATTCTTAAAAATCGATATGTTGTTTTTTTTGTAATTAATAAATTTCAATTTTGAATACAGCTGCGGTATTTTAAACAAAAAAGCATTTACTAAAAAATCTTTCAAATTGGTCAACCATCAAATCTCTAAAACTTCAGCATAGATTTTTCTTTAAAATGTATGCTTACATCTTGTTACATATTTTCAAAATCTATTCAGCTGCTGAACTTAACTGTTTAAAGACTTGATTGATTGATTGATATTTGCTTATTGCCCAGTGACAAATATTTCAAGCATATTCAGAATGAGCAAAAATCGTCTGTGATAATCGGTAAATTTTTAATGCCACTGGAAAATTATGGTATTTATTTTAGGGACAGAAATTTTGCCTCATCTATGGACACATAAAGATGTTGCAAGAGTTCTTTAACGTGCTGAAAAAGTAGCACTCTGTTTTTACATGAGACATCGGATTAATGTCCCATTCCGATCGGACGTGGCTGCGTACTTATACATCCCGCACAACCAAACAGACGTTCTGATTTAGCATGTGTTTTTACTGTCGTATTTGAGATATCCAATAGCCATATTTATATACATCAAAATCCCTAGACTGTTTAAAGGATTTGACAACGAAATAGAATTAAGACTTCTCGGACTCCTGTCGTTCAGCAGAAGAACCTGCATGTGTTTGGTTTTGAAGGATGCATAAATCATTACAAACAGTCTAGTTTCTAATCTCATTTCATCACTACTGTGTTTTTTACATCAGTTCACTAGTGCATGGATATTCATGATCTAAAATGTGCTTTCATCTTGAAAAAAACGAGATACATTTATATTCAATTATTTACAACTATCTGGGTGTTCTGCACTACTGTAATGTTAATTCAAGAAAATCACTTGATTTCCACTTCCCAGATCTATATAGCAAACATTTCAGAAGCGCCTTATACTACTAAGTGTATATATCTTCCAGTTGATATGATATTCCAGAGCCTTCCTTTCCTATCATTATTTCTTTGGTAGAGTTGGTGTCTATACAAGGAAGCTATTTAATCATGGGTGTGAAATGGTAAAGTTGAAGTAATCCCTTCGAAATATTTACGGATGCCAGCACGAGTTGGCTGATTGTCATGAAATATCTTTGTCACTGATACCACGGATATGTTCCAATTGTCAAAACCACTGTCCCGTAATCTTTACCAGGATTGCGGCATCACCGAATTATAATTATCACCGCATTTGTACTTACCACGACCAACACGACGGGTGTCACATGTCGAGCAAAATCTGCTTACTCTTAATGATCATCTTAATTATGTTAATTCATCCCACCTTTGGTTTTTTGTAAGGTTAGTGTTATTCTGTCTTTACTTTAGTGTCTTGAAGTCTTCATCTATTTTATGTCCCACCTAGGGGCATTATGTTTTTCGGTCTGTGCGTCCGTTCGTCCGTCCGTCCGTCCGTTCGTCTGTCCCGCTTCAGGTTAAAGTTTTTTGTCAAGGTAGTTTTTGATGAAGTTGAAGTCCAATCAACTTGAAACTTAGTACACATATTCCCTATGATATGATCTTTCTAATTTTAATGCCAAATTAGAGTTTTGACCCCAATTTCACGGTCCACTGAACATAAAAAATGATAGTGCGAGTGGGGCATCCGTGTACTATGGACACATTCTTCTTTGCCATGGGGTAACGATTGTCAGTTTCTCTTACATTGTACTATGATGAGTTTTTGTATCTTCTGTCTCTTTTCTGTACCATGTTTATGCAGGGAAATTACAATTGACGCACAGCTACTGTTCATGCATATGTACTTTGTAGTATTATAAATATAAAGTACTGAAAACGTACCTTTATAATGCAGTACTGTTTCAGTACTTTTTTACTATAATTGTTCTATTCCAGTACCATAATTTCCCAGTGGATTTGTACTTCGTTGAAAGTAACAGTACACTAGTTACATCACTACTACATTATGTAGGTACATTTTGAGTACTAGAAAAGTGCACGTACAAAAGTAGATGTGTATCTCACATGCTAAACTGGTAGTATGTCAAAGTCAGGCTCAATGTTTCATGTATTGATCGATGGTAAATTGTTGTTCCTTATCAGGCTTGAAGTAGCACAGTTGTGCGAGTTCAGGTACTGATCAACCTTATGTACTAACCCGTACGAAAAGGAAAGACATTGTTATGCAAAAAAAATACAACTTTACGATCAATCTTCGATTTAAACCACAGGTGCATGGGGGAATGGAACCCCTTTTTTCATTTATTTCTTTAGTATTTTTACTTATTTTCCACCTTTTTCCGCATTCTTGCAACTATCTTTACGATTTAACAATAAAAGTTTTTTTTTTGGCCTATGAATTGAGGGAAAACCCATGTTGAAATTCCTGATGTTTACGTATAAGATGCATACTTACAAGATTCGTCCGATTCCAAACTTGGAAATTTTTCACATTCTGACTTAACTTTAACTGATGCAGTTGTCAACGCGTTTCCGTTGTCTGACCCATGTTGTGGTTGAAATTTAATAGTTGTGCCGAATATTATTTGTCTATATCTTGCAAACGCTGAGGTAAGGATATCACAGGTTTCGCCAGTCGCTTCGAACCTAAAACTTGATCTATCTATCGCATACACGTTGCCTGTAGGTGTATATTTCTGTGGCATTGGCCATGGTGCTCCTATTGTTGGATTAATAGTCGCTTGAAGATTTCGTGAAGAACATAGCATTAACTTTACAAGGAGGAAGAAAACACCGGTGTTTACATTCGACACCATTTTGTACGATAAGACATCACATGATATTTTACCTTTCATCATGTGAAGAAAATCGATTACCGTATTTATTCAAGATAGGTCGTGTATTTCGAAATATAGAACATCGATCATCTCTCTAACTATTTTAAATAGCAATTAATATATAGATTGTTTCAAACCACTTCTCCGCTCGAACAATGATTATAAAATAAATTTGATTAATGATTGCAAACTAAAAAACTGTATTGTGACAATTTATTCAGAGAACTCAGTCTTGGAACAGTCATAATGATAACATTTTGACACAATTTGCCACTATATACATTTACAAAAACTAATCAAAAAGAAAGTTTCAAAAAAATAATTTGACTTTTTGCAGCTGTCTGTGAATTTATAGAGCAGCCATTATAGTATTGTAAAAATGTGGCGCACTTAAACATATTTTTTGCAAGTTTATATGTTTGTTATGTTTGTTATGTTTTTTAAAATTCTATAGTGTACACTTGTAATCTTGCTTTTACGAGTGTAACTACGTATTTAAAATAAATAAATGAAATACACAGTCACAGTCTGTTCCAATATTTATTGTTTTGTTATTTAATTCAGATAATCTATTTTATAATGTCACAGTCAAATTGTGTCATTCAGACTATAGAAGATCATATCAGAAAAAGTTTGTTTTTTTTCAAAGTGATATATTGCACCTAAATTTCAGTTGGATGGGACACATTGAATTTGTTTAAATAAAGGCATACATATTTGCCGTCGCGGTTGTATCTTGGTTGGGCGGCACTAGAATGCGGGAGATCGCGTGTTCGATCTCTGTTCGTGTCAAACCGGCCGAAGATTGTACAATTTATACTTTCTCCTTTGCTAAATACGCGGCATTTAGGGTTAAAGGTAAAGACTAGCCGTTTTATGGTTAAAACCACCTCGGTAGTCTCGTGGTAGCGTGCCAGTTGCCTCGAAGGTATCGTTGTTCCGTGCTCGTCTCTGTCGTCTCTTTGGCAGAGTGCTCAGGTCGTGGTTCGATCTCTCGTCATGTCAAACTCTATACAACATTGTTAGTACTAAAATACTAAAATACTACATTGTTAGTACTAAAATACTAAAATACTACATTGTTAGTACTAAAATACTAAAATACTACATTGTTAGTACTAAAATACTAAAATACAATACTAAAATTGGTTTTCGCTGCTTTTCCGCTAAGCACGTGGCATTAGAGAATTATGAAAAGCAAGCGCTGGTCGGTTCGGTGTCAAAATAATGTGTTCGGGTTATGTGAAATGTTTTCCTATGGACCATTAGTTCTAGCATGATAAAAATCCGACAGCGTGTCGGTCTAGTACAAAGCAGTGAGGTAAGGTAATATTTCTTCTTGTGGAAGTGTTACATTGTGATTATAAGCTATAGGGATTCAGCGTTTCCGTATAAGATAAAACTAATTTCATGTTCACATTTAAGCAACATGTTATCATTTGAAGGCGGATTTAAAAGGGGCACAACAGGCTTCATACAAAACGTCAGTTTTTAGAATCTTAGAATATTATTGATTTAAACTTAATGAAAGGCTGTGGAGTTGTAATTGTTGAGCAAAATCTGATTTTAACGTGAGGTCGTTTTGAAAAACGTTTTGCTTGAAAGTCGTGACATTGATAAAATTATTATGTTTTGTTAGAAAATAATACAAATAAGCTTTTATTCTGTGTTTATGCACAGAATTTTGATACACAAAACTATAGTTATCATGTTAGTAAATAGAATTTTGATACATAAAACTATAGTTATCATGTTAGTAAATGAATAATCTTAGTCGGTCATCAATAAACATAGAGTAGACCGATTTCACCACAATAGATTAATCATAACTAGTATCAATATGCCAATTAGGCTAAAATGAATGATTAAAAAGACGGTTCTGATACTGGAGGGGCCTGATGGGGGGAGGGGGGGTCTCATCACGATTCACGAGTTGATTTTTTTGTCAATCACGATTCACAGAAAATAAATTTCCATGATCACGGATCACGAAAATATAAAAAAAAAAAATCTGTAGAAAAACGGATCACGATAGCGAAAATGCGCCGATCACGAAGAACGAAAATAACCCATCAGGCCCCTCATACTGGTTTACTTAAGAAATGATATTACTTTTTAAAATGCATTTTTTGTAAAATTATATTCCTGCAAGTAGAATCATACTTTCACATAATATTTGTGACTAGTTTTTTTTAAAAATCATGACAAACCTTTTGTTTATATACTTGTTGAAAAAAAGTCTAGCGATAACTGAAAACTTCGACGTCCAAGCAAATATATGCGTATTGAACGAACATTATTACTTCGGTGACCTTAGATGGATTTGGTTATTATTTTAGGCCGGTCCTTTTTGGTCATAAAGCTCTCAACTCTTTCGGTTCTTTTACATCCTTGGCTTTTTAAATATTCGGCTTTGAGGAGCTTTCCTGGTGAAGGTAAATCCAGAAAAGCCTTTCGGACGCATGGAACTTATAAACTGTTGTTTTCAAAATGTATGCTTCATGAGGAGGATCCATCGGAATATTGTATATTACAGAATAAAAAATATAATCCAAACAGTGTTCTAACACGCAAACGAAGCACATACTTCTCTCTATATACGGCTTTGATAGAAGAATAAAATTTGGATATTGAGCTAAATTGAAGTTGAGGATGAAAATTATTTTCTTCTTCAGTGTCCTGTGTTGGAAAACAGATCAGAAATATGAATGATAACAGTAACACCAAAAAATTTAAAACCTCCCAAATAATTTCAAACTTTATGGTTAAATCGCCAGAACATACTGCTTTTTTAAAATAATGCCAGTTTATTTTTGGTGTGCATTATATCAGGCACTAAATGCAACTGGAACGCATGTAATCTAGTAACAAACTATAAGTGAGCAATTGTCAGTTCTTCGCTATTAACACAAGAATCAGCATTTCAACGTCTAAAAACTAGAAAAATTGAGCAGCCTGAATATGCATGGCTTATTTTCTACTTGCCATACCATTGTATAGACAAGGCAAACTTTACCACTTGATGTACCATTGTATAGACAAGGCAAAATCAGTGACAAGTTTTTGGGAAACTAAACGGTCATTTAAATCAAACAAAAACATCGGATGCAAAATGCCTTCAAGTACTGACAGACCTATGCAAGTGTCATGGAAACTAAAACATGGAATATAGGGAAATACGGATGTGATCTCCTTCTATATAAAGTTCATGCTTTTGAAACTCAAAATTCGTTTAGATCAAAGAACGTACGTAAGTAGATAAAGATTTAATTAATAAATTGATAAGATTCTATAACAGAAATAATGTGATCAAGTCAGTGAATCGGTCTGCTCAAATATGCCAAGGCATATTATTTGCCTCTGCTCGATGCAGGTTCCTGTTTTCTTTTCACCGAATGGCATACGAAGCAATATGCCACAACATGTTCGGTCATTTGTGATTGTAAAATCATATTTCAAATCCTTCAAAGTCCATTTCTTTAAAAAAAAAATCACTAACCTATTCTTGCATTGTTACTTAATAGTTCTGAATACTTATTTAAATTCTTTAAGAGGTAAATACGTAATAAATTAGACATCGATTCCTCTGAAGCTTATAATCAATAAAAGTTGCATCGATATGTCAAAATGCATTTTCTCTCCAAGTTCATCTTTTTCACTATTAATTTCTAATCCATATCATTAATTTGGTGATGCCTTTGTAATTTGCGCCTACATCTTCTGTTGTAATTAATTACTGTGTTAGTACGTATCGTCATGTTTATATACAAAGGAAAACTTAAGGTAGATTGGGGGGGGGGGGGGGGGGGGGGTCTAAATTAAAATCCATAGAATTTTTTAATAATTTGTTAAAAAGTAGTTTATGTCATGTTTTTTTCAAAAATATAATAAAGTATTGGTCATCGGGCTTTTTTTCGAGCTACAGGCCAAGTTGTGCAAAATTGTCATATTTTGTATAGATTAAGCATGGAAAACCCGATTTTTTGTGATAAAAAGAAAGCTAAACCATAGAATTTTAAGATGAAATATGAGAAGATAGCTCTAATAATATGCTTTCAGATAGGAAAAAGAAAAAGTGGGGTCACCGAACTCGTTTTCTTGCTACATCATAGAATAGGTAAATTCATAACACATTCTATTATAAAAGTTACTTTATCTGAGTTATCTCCCCTTATGTGGCACAGCTGAAAAAAATTGAATAAAAAAAAAATCTATTTTTTTGTAAAATACAGCCGTAAAATATGATAAAACACATAATTTTCTATAACAACACAAAAAGTCTTACACATGAATTAATACTACTCTCAAAATTTGTACATTTCATAAAAGATCTAGACCGATTGTTAGCTGCTTTTCAAAATCCAAGATGGAGGAAGACACCCGAGCCACATTATAAGTCCTCTACACAATTGTGAAGAAATAGCGGGGCGCTACAGTTATTACACTATTCTAACTGGTCGGCTAAAGCATATAGCTAGATATCAAAGCTCTACCATCCTAAGTCTTTAATTTATCATACAGGTTAAGTTCCTGATGCCAGTCGGGAACCCGATTTCCATTTTGAAGATCGTCTTTATGATTATTTGCATACTCATTTTAAATCCTCTAACATTTCTTCATCTTCAATTCTAGCAAAACAGTTATTTCTTTTAGAAGATATATACTTCTCATCAAATTTACCGTTGTCCCATCGGAAAATCGCCGGTTGCAACATTGCAAAATCTGGTCAAAAGGACGTAGCTCGTACAAAACGTCGCAACAGTTCGCGGAATCCGCTTGACGGCGTTCATTTACTGTAACTTGACCTTAAAGTCAAAATTTCGAATTTAAAGTCAAAATGTTTAAGTTTAAAGTATTCGAGATTTCAAAAGTCGAAATTTCGAGTTTAAAAAAGTCATTATTTCGATTTTTTAACAATATAAATTAGAAGAGATTTTGGCTCTAAAATTTTGACGTTAAAAAAAAAGTTCAATGATAATTTTAATTTTTTTTTGGTATGTCAA